GCATTTCAAATCTTTGTTTCAGGAAATGAATCTGCACACTTTCCTGGCTCACTGTCTGGGACACAAGAATAAAACAGCCGTTGTCAAAGTGCTTTTCCTAATATGACACGTCTGCTGTAGATTAACAGTTTTAAAAAAAAGCCAAATATTTGTTTACGCTTCTTTACTGAAAGGCTTTTCTGCTTTACTTTGTTTAGTGGGACAGTTGACTGTAAACCTCTGGGATTTGGATGGCAAAACATGCTGACACTCTTCTTTTAGTGTCTAGTAATTAAATTGTCACAACCTATTTTAGTTGCTTCTGGTTAGTTGGTTTGTATGTTACTGATTGTGTTAAATGGGCAAATCATATTGTCTTATATTGATAGCAGGCTCCTAAATTAAACTGTCCAATGTCATATTGTGTTTCTGTGGCCTGAAAATGGAAATCAATATTTTTATAGAATGGAATCTGTATAAAACTTAATAATTAATTTAAAGGTCACCTATTATTCAAAATCCACTTTTTCATGTCTTTTATAAATCTGTGTTAAGAGATTCTGAAAGTTTGTGATGCCATAATGTTTTTTTAGCTTGTGTAACCATTAGCCAATAACCGTCTAAGGCAGTGGTTCTCAAACTTTTTCTGTCAGGCCCCCCCTTTGGAGAAAAGAAAAAGTCGGGCCCCCCAAATAGTCAATGAGCCAAGTTAACATTTATTAAAATACATCAATCTGAACGTGAGCATTCCTTTGCTAGAAGAGTGATAATATTAAAATGCTCCATAAGTCTGTGTGGTCAAATTTAGCACCAGAAGCTAACAACAACGATCTCCGGTACCGGTGCGCTCTCTCTCGCTCGCGCGCGAACACAAAATGGCTCGTTCCACATATACAAAGAGCCGAGCTTGTATTAAACAGAGAGACCCAGATGTACCTGTACCATATCATATTATTTTCGAATCAATAATTTTTCAAATTATGATTTATTAATTTTTTTAAATCGTTTTTTAATAAAAAAGAAATTTCCTCCTGGTCTCTCGCTGTCATGCCTCTGCGCCCCCCAGGGGGGGAGTGCCCTCCACTTTGAGAAACACTGGTCTAAGGGAACACCCGTCCACCTTATCACCTGAATCTCCTCCTAGAGCACCATTGTGTGTTTTTTTTTTTAACCAATCATCTCTCAGAGGGGCGTGGGGAGTGGCTCCTTATTTCCATCTAAAGTAAAAGACAGCGGCCATTTCTCAATCGCGAGGATACTGGCTTGGTAGTTGCATACTTCCAAGTCACTTCCTTCAGAAACGAAGCAAGTATATTTACAAGCCACGGCTTCGGAAAATAAGGAAGAATGGAACAGGCTAACAAGTGTGCCACTTTCTCTAACGGTTTCAACATAAACTGTACCGAAAATAAATACCTCATGTCTATCTATTATGACTTGCTTTACTTTCACGGAACACATTTTTGGTGATAACAAATTTAACAAAGTCACATATTTACCAACACATGTTCTACGTCACTACATACTCATTTAAATGTGTACTGTGCTGCGTCGGTTCAGCCATTCTCCGCAAGGGTTTTTGAAATTGGTCCGTGCGCAAAGCATTGTGGGGATTTGAAGGACGCGAAGTCTACCCATGTGCAGCCTCGAAATGTCAAACAAAACAAGGACGCGGCCTCGGTGGAATTCCAAGTATGCTGGAGATTGGAACAGTCCTTCGGCGGCACTCCATGACGTAGTATCCTTGAAATATTGGCTTGGAAGCCAGTTTCCTCTCGATTGAGAAACGGCCACAGAATCAGCACTTTTGAAACAGGGCTGAAACAGAGGGGTTTATGGGATGATGCAATGATCTGTTTGGTGTTTCGAGCCAAGCACTTCAGAGACATGTTTTGTATATATCTGAGACCTATAGTATATTGATGAAAAAGAGTATAATAGAGGACCTTTAAGACGATAACACATTATACTGTCTGACTTTCTGTCACATTTCTTACCTTTCTTGTCCTGCTACCCGGCAGAAAAAAGCACATTCGTGGTTATCATCAGTTTCAAGCCCCTTGTAAAGACACAATGATTTAAAAGCTGTCACTCTGCAGTGCTTGAGAAACTAGGATAATAGTGTTTCTGAGCCACACTCATTAAGTGCTCACAAACGCCCATTTAAAATAGCACAAAGCAGGATTTCTCACCAGTCTTTTACCTTTGCTAAAGTGATTCAAATTTGATCACAACTTGCTTCTGTTATGTGCTGTTGATTGCATTTGTGTGTGACATAAAACATAACTTCCCTCTTTTTGTTGTAGGAGTCGATTTTAAAATGAAAACACTAGAACTAGATGGAATCAGGGTGCGAGTACAGATATGGTAAGTCATCCAATGCATTGACACACCGTGCGTATCGTGCGATCTTCTCCTGATTTCGTTTTTGTCTCGGGTACAGGGACACAGCGGGACAGGAGCGTTATCAGACCATCACCAAGCAGTACTACAGGCGAGCACAGGTGATCCCTCCACCTGAACAAGTTACCTCCATGCCTAACTGTGGCGTTCATAGTTTAATCTGTCTTCATTCATTTCTCTCCAGGGTATCGTCTTTGTTTACGACATCACCAGCGACTCGTCCTTTCAGCACCTCATGAAGTGGGCAGGTGATGTGGATGAGGTAAGGAAATAAGTACTCTTGGTGCTCTGCTGATGCTCGCTGCACACCGAGTGGCTTAGTGTGAGTGACAGGATGATGAAGTCCCTTATCTCTGTGCTATCTGTTCTTTCTGTCTCGTTGTTGTTTTGCAGTTTGCCCCAGACAAGGTGCAGAGGGTCTTGATTGGAAACAAGTCTGATGAGGAGCTCAGTAGGCAGGTGACCAAGGATCAAGGAAGCAAGGTTTGATTGGGAATGTGTCTATTGATTGAATCTTTTGAATATTACTTACCTAATAAACAATCATGAAAAATATAGAATGTTTAAGGTACTCAAAATCCTCTAATGTTCGTTTACAGTGTTTTGCTATATATAAGTATTTAACCTCTAGCCCCAGAGCTTCTTACCTGATGAATAATAAAAAAACACCATTCTCACCATATCACATTATAGATCTAAATTTGGACAATCAGTTATTTATTTTTAACTACACCGTAGATTTTTCTATTAGATCTAAGTTAAATGGCATCAAATAAAATACAATTAAATTATCAGTGACCAGGATTAAATAATAGGCAGATATTTCTAAAGCCAGCTAAAACAGTTTTTTATTTTTGCAATTATTTCAAACTATGGTACAGGAATTCTTTATTAACGTAGCTTTCATTACCACTTCAATAACATGTGAGTTTTTATTTAATTTAGATTATTATTAAGTGGAGGCAGCCCATCAGCTAATTTGTATGAAGTCCTCATTAACAATATATTGATTGGCCAGTAATACCCACTAACATAATGGTCCTCTTACCAGGTGCTTAATTTAATTGCCTATAAAATGACCTTTTGTTGTATTTATTTCTAACCATATCCACCTGGGTGTTGAAGCTAGCAGAAACCTATGGGATGGAGTTCTTTGAGACCAGCGCCTCCACCAGCAGCAACATCAGTGAGGTAGGACACTGAGTGAGGAAACTGTCAGTGTCTGTGCACAAATACTTCGGGGGAATCCCCTGCATCACTCTTTTTGAATATCTCGTGTTTTTATTTTTCACTTCCTCCTTCCTTCAGGCCTTCACTCGTTTGACAGAGCTGGTGCTGCAGGCTCACCACCGAGATGTGGACAACTTGTTAGGAGCTCTGGATGATTATCTAGATAACCATGCTTTGGAAGAAGAGAACGAAAGTGAAGGCACTGACGTCAACACTCATAGGACCTGCGCCTGTTAGGAAGAGGGCCATTACTGTAGCATGGCTCATAGCGAAAGACATTTGTTCCTCATGACTGAGACATGACTCGGCCCTTCTTCATAGATACTGTAACCTGTGTGTCAAGAGGGAGCTCAATTGGTTTCACTTTTCATATGTTGGCAGCAGCAACCAGCAGAGGGCGCTTTCTGTTGCATTATCACTATGCCCAACAGCCAGTGAAGAGTAAATACAGGACATATATGTAGCTCTGTATCCAGCTAAAACTATCAATGCACAAGCTCTATTCCTTCTGGTGCACTATTCACTTACATCTACAACTGAATGGGTAATGTGTTTATTTAAGAAATTAGTTTGTTAAGTTGCAAAGAGTCTACATGCTCACACAAGGTAGCCAGAGGACACCGTTTAATTATTTACACCTCGAAACTCAAACCAAGCAGAGTGGATTATTTTACATGATAGACTTATTTCCTCAGGGAAGACAGCGCCATGTTTAATGACCTATTTGAGTGCAGTGCATGTTTGTTTAAATATTTTTTGGGGTCTGCTTTGGTGCCACAGATATGTCATGTTACCATTGTTAGACTTGAAACTCCACTCATGTTGCAAACAAAAACCTATCTAAGTTAATAAATTAAAACTACCATATTTAACACGAGTTGATTGGGTACCTGAGTCTTGCTGAGTCACTACATTTTAGATTGAGAGGGAAGTTAGGTCCTTGGAGAGAGGTTCATACATTTTTCATCAACTGCTGTAAAAAACATTTTTGATGATTGAGAAAATTGATACAAGTCAGAGATACCTTGAAGCCTAATACATGTTTTTTTCCCCATTTCTGTCAATAACCACCTAAGGATAATAATAACATTTAAAAAAGCCTATGATTAACAGCACATTTGGTTCATTCTAAAATGGAAACATGTTTCAAAGTTTATCCAAAATACAATAACGCACATTATTTTAAATCATGCAAAATCTTCTTCATGGACTGATGTTTACAATCACTGACATCCATCTATGTAAAACGTGTCAGGGTATTGTATTTCAGCTGTAGATCAGTTTCCTGCAGAGCCATTTGACACCCACGAAAGGCAGCTTTCTGTACCAGCTGAGTCAGGTGACCAAGCAGTTTGGATGCAGTCACACGTTGAGGTCCCATCTGCCTCAGTGAGGAAGCACAGGAGTCGAGATGACGTTCATCGCCAAAACTTTCTACGACCTGAAGGCCACAACGGTGGAGGGGGACCCGGTGGACTTCAACGTCTTCCGGGGCCGGGTGGTCCTGATAGAGAATGTGGCCTCGCTCTGAGGCACCACCACCCGGGACTACAGCGAGCTCAGCCAGCTTCAGAGCAAGTACCCCCATCGGCTGGTGGTCCTGGGTTTCCCCTGCAACCAGTTTGGATATCAGGTCAGTTGAGCAGCATGGTTTGGTTGACCCTACAATATTTGGTCTTTGTATACTGGTTGGCCATAAAGCTCATAAAAAAAGGCTTTATATGCAGATGATGTTTCATTATTCATGTGGAACCTGTCATAGGCCTATCAGTAAACTTGTAAAAAACTAACAATAAAAACACCCTATATCAGTGCCTCTTCTGGGTTTATATTCTTTTTTTTTAAATGGCTTTAAACATTAATTTCACAAAATGTAAAAAGTCATTTTTATATTTTTTGTAATTAATAAAAACGGAATCTTTAAATGTTTAAAGTAAAACAAAAATTACATTCTTTACCCAATTTGAATGATTTCAATTATATTCACCATTAAAGTAATTAAAACATTATTGCATAGCGTGAAAACTGTAGCTCATATTTTAGTCTGACATTCTTATTGTTTGCTATTGTATAATCCAGTTGATTCCTGTTATCATCCACATTTAGATGCAAACTACAACAAAGATGTCCTTAACAGTATGGATATGGATAATATGACAATACCTAAATGAACACTTGTGTTTTGCAGGAGAACTGCAGCAATGGTGAGATCATGAATTCCCTGCAGCATGTGCGTCCGGGCGGCGGCTTTCAGCCCAACTTTACCATCTTTGAGAAGTGTGATGTCAATGGGACCAACACACATCCGGTTTTTGCCTATCTTAAAGACAAGCTCCCCTATCCCGATGACGACCCCATCTCTCTCATGAAGGACCCCAAATTTCTGGTTTGGAGTCCCATCAGCAGGACGGACGTCTCTTGGAACTTTGAGAAATTCCTCATCGGGCCAGAGGGAGAGCCCTTCAAAAGATACAGCAAAACATTCCCCACCATCGACATAGAGCCTGACATCCACAGACTGCTAAGATTAACCAAGACCTAAGAATAGCACCCACCTCTTAATGACTTCTCATCCATCACATTCAATGCTGATATGCTGAGCTCTACACTGTTAAGCCTTATTAAATGATGGTGATGTTCTGAAAATCCATGGGAATATTACCTGAGGCCTTGTAAGTGCTTAAGAGTAGTGGACGAATCAATTCTACATATGTAGATGTATGTATAATGAATGCTTTAGTTCATGTGGGTGAGAAAGGAATGATATAGCCAGGTATTTTATTAGGCATGTCCTATTGTGTCTTGTCCTAGCCTAACCAGCAGATGGTGCTACTGGTTTGATCTGACAAATAGATAACTTCAGTCATGCTTTTATGAATTAACATTCACTACACACACACATACACTCACACATTGTTTGCACTGGAATAAAGTCATTACAAACCTATATCCTCTCTCACTGATGTCTTTTTTTAATTGGACCATATAATCAGTGAGGCACCTGCTGAAGGCATGTGCCTCAAATGCTTTGACAAAAATAGATGTTTTCAGCTCTGTGTGGGCATATTAATGAGGCATGGAATACAGTGGGAAGGATGTGGAACTATATGATGCACGGTGTCAAAAGAAATCATAGGCCTGCATAAAGCACCCTCTAGCCTGCTGATTCCTTCTTTATTTGTTGAAATCTTCTTTCTCCACCAATTCACTCGATGATGCAAGCTAGATTTGCTGACACCAGTAGCGTACACAGCTGCAGGAATGCTTTACACTTTACAGTGACACTAAAAGACAAGAGTCCTAAATCATGCAACTAGAAAAGCATCAGCCTTGCCACGTTGTAAGCTCTTATCCAGCTTAATTTCCTATGCACAGTGAGCATTGTTTGCAAGGTCTGCAGATTAGCTGTGGATGTTCTGCACATCCGCTCACATCCACATCAGCTGATGATTTCAGAGCTACAGGCTACACAGGCCGGCTCTGCTCTAATGTGTCAGGTTGCTGCAGGGACAAATTTGAAACACTCAGTCACCTGACAATTTTTGCAAATAGCCTGTCTCACTGTCTTTGCATATCACATTTAAATATTTGTGTTGTTGTGATACATGGGCACATTTGATTAATATATATCCCACAGGCCTCCTGGTCCTCAGCTGACAGTCAGGTAAGTAATGTTGGCTATTAGAGGCAGCAAATATTGAAGGAGGAATACCAGGGCCAGGGCCTTTCCTCCTGCACTGCTCCCCTGCACACACAGCTTGCAGAATAATACCACCAAAGATCGTTATGCCATATCGATGCATCACTAGTAAAAGTCTTGAAAATTGAGTCTCATTAAACTAATATAGTTGAACAATCTTACCATTGTGTCACATGTGTCCAATGTTACACATATTCCAACGTATTCTCTATACCTATCATTTGGATGCAATTGTGTTTTCAAATAACCCGTCATGCAACTGCAGCAACCTCATCTAAGACATAGATAGTTTAATGGCTTTTTAAATTAATGATTGATCATTTACAGCCCTACTGTAGGTAAAAGTTTGCTGGTTCCCAATTAACAATATACTTTTTTTTTAAAAACCATGACGCCATTAACCCGTTTAAAGTGGTTCCTCCATCGGAGATCCTAGTGTGTGTGGTTATATTTCATTATTGTCAGTGGAAAGATCCAAAATGGGGCAAATAAAGCACATACACGTTGCTCAAATTTGACCATACTTAATAAAATATATGTTGTAACTGGACCAAGAGAGAACATTATCAACTTTTGGAGTAAAAACTGGATTAACCTCGCTTGCAAAGTTTAACTCAGAGTGAGAGCTCTCCATTAACCTCTTCTTTGTCTGAGCACTACAGGTGAGCACTGTTGCCACGGAAACGTTTGCTTTCCCCACCAAGCCTTCTCGCGAGACTCGGGGGCAGAGAGCGAAGGAGAGAGAGAGAGAGAGGGGGGAGAGAGGGAGGCTGCCTGAATGATCTCATCCTTCCAGCAGCTGCATAGCGCAGCGAGGCAAACCCTTAACTTTCTATCAAACTTCCAAGTTGCCTTTCGGAGGGCGACACCGGCGCGAACACGTTTCTCGTGAAGGTAAGGAGGAGCGCTGCGCAGTTTGTGAGTCGGGCTTAGAGGACCTTGTTAGAAACAAAAGGAGGAAAACCCCGCTTCGTGTTGTGTGACATGCAAAAGCTTGAGGCAGAAAAGGTGAGTCGGGAACGTGGTGCTAGCTTTATAGGGTGCTAGTTGTGTTAATGGTACATGGTTCTCTCTCACACTCAACATCTGTCGGCTCTCTGTGGACAAAGCACATCGTTGTGCTGTGTGGAGATGCAGTGTGGAGCCAGTGCGCAATCAGTGCCAGGGGTTTTCATTAAACTAAAGCATTAAAGGTGGTAGTGGACTCGGGAAGAAACGTCTCTATCACTGGGGCTGTCAACATATGTATCTGCGGTGTCGTTGCATGTCAAGGGCATTGTTCCCACTGCTTTAGGGGAGACGATTTACAGGTGGCATCGTGAACACTACATAGCATTTCTCCTTGAGTAACTGTCACCACCCCTGCTACCCCATTTTTCAGCATGGTGTACCCTGTGTTTTTGCCATATGAGGGGGGGGGGGGAGGGTGGGGGGGGGTTTCAGGCAGGTGATTTCCTGCTTCATCTGCTTGCCAATAAGAGCTCTGATTTGTTTACAGCATTGCTTGGTAAATTATGTTGTGGAATAGACTAGGCAGATCTGATTGCATAGGTAGTCAATATACCGTGTTAATGTTAGATATACAACATGGGGTCCACTAGTCATGGTCCCCCATGGCAATTTGATCAGATGATACCAAATCTAACCCCCTTTTTCCTGATTAAGTAATGTATTATGTCATATATACACAACCATGCTTTTTGGTTTCATCATGGTATAAAAGTGATGGTATAGATAGATAATACAGGTCATGGCAACATTACAAATTAGGAAACACTTGGCAATGCAGGGCAACAACACAAACAGAGAGGTTTGTTTAAATAGTCACAATCAGTGAAGTGTGCCAACCTTTCAAAGTTCAGACATATGCTGTACTGTGTTCAAGACGAGCATACATATCAGCTGTATGAAACCAGTTACAAAGATGCAGGGAGACATTGAGAACCAGTGGCTTCAGTGTCTGCTCCAGTAGCTTGTTGGAGTTGGAAAACTTGGCATGAGTCAGGTGAAAAAAGGAAGCTTTTGGAGTTTAGCTTTTGGCAAGGATTGAGGATTTTTAGCATTCTTAATAGGCTTAGCTGACCTGCGGTGGGCATGACTGATCATACACTCTACCGCAATTTTTACCAGGGAGTCTCTAATCTCAGCTTTGTACCGTCTAAATCGTAGCTATTATTCACACTGGACTGCTTCTTGCTCTCTCTGATGGGATTTCTTGTAGCAAAAATAATCTAATGCAAAAGCAGCAGCTTTATATCACTCTTGGGGAAAGCAGGCATGCTCTGTTTTAATCTTCCACAATGGGCCTACAAGTCTGGGTTTTATACTGCTGACAAAAATACCATTCAAGGTTAAGATAAGACATGACTGTGTGGGCTTTAATAAAAATGATTTAGAGAGACTACTTTGCTGCAAGAGGCCAATATAAGTAAAAGCCAGTTGACAAGATAAGTCATTTTTTGTGCTTGCTCTCATCAAAATGCATCTACATGATAACTCAAAACGTGATAGTTCCATGAGAGAAAAGCTTTAGCTTCCCTTGATTCTTATTAGCTTATATTCCTCCCCCCTGGTTTATACTAAAGGACACTGTTTCTATTTTAACTTTGTGCATCATACTTCTCACACAACAATTCCAATTGTTATTATTTCTTGTAGAGTCTTTCTAACGTGCACAGAGGGATGCTTCCTGTTGCTAAGTTCAGCTCATGTTTCTATTGTCTCTTGTGCATTGGCTCGAAGGGAATAGCGCGAGCAAAGATAAAAGACAACAACAAGAGGAGCTTTGTGCCGCTTTATAATTTTCCACACTGGAATGTGTGGGCTGCAATTATGCTAAGTGGCCATCACGAAATGCTTATAATAACGGCTAACATTTTATAATGCATTTAATAACAAGATTATTGTTATGATTGATTCTCAAATTCAAAGTTCATTATTCTTTATTGGTTTAAAGAACGTAATGTATGAAGTAGATTTAGACCATAGTCTTTCACAGTGATGTGCTGCTTCTTGGTAACACTTTTTAAGTTTTAAGGATGCATTATTTGTCAAAATATTGGATGTAGCCGCACCCCTGTCCTGGTGACACACTAGACAACAAACTAAACAGACCCTCGGATGTGACCCTGGATGATCTGGTGCACCAGCGTGGCCAATGTCGGCTACAAGGCCAATTTCCTAATGCTTGTTTGTTCTGTGACAGACACCAGAGTGAGTAATATCTTCACGAGTTCTGACACAACCTTCAATAATCGCTTGAAATATATTCTTAGGAGAAAAAGCAGAAGGGTTGTCAGTTTCAACATGAGTGATGTGTCTGGCCGGTATTACTCAGCCTATAGTCAGAAATCAAATGACTTGATAGTAATATGGCCTCCAGCGTTTTTTCCGTGTGAGTGTCTTTTCACTGGCGACTGAGGGGGTTGATGGGTTTGATCGTAATGAGGTGTGACTACGGGTCTGCGTTTCCTGCTTGCTAAACTGTTGGAATGCTCTCTCTTTGTCTGGATCGGACCGTCCGCTGTATTCCAGCCAATGGATGAGAGCAGAGGGCTCGGAAGTTACAATAGTGATGATGTAATCCCTTTTCAGCACACTGTCACAGACTAAATGCATGCAGACAAAAGAAAATTCCCCCTCTTTTTCACCCCACCTGCCACAAAGTTCGGGGAATTTTTACATCGCCGAAATATGCACGGCAGCTCGGACACTGTAATTATCCATGCCGGGGATTCTGGGGGCTCCTGAGGGAGTTCAGTTGTGAAACAGGTGTAAAGTGTTGTTATTAACTCTGACTCGACTTTACCTGATTGATGATTGGGTCTCCATCAAGTGGTCTGTTATTTCTAAACTCGGGAACTAAAGCAAACTCTTTGTGACTCGATCCCGTCCCGCTGCTTCCAATTCTCAGCCCAAAACCAAAACCCACAGTCATGCAGACATCAGACACTGTGTAATTCCCCTTTTCTGCTCCAATCAAACCTTAAACATACCCAAAATAGTCAGACATGGCGTAGAGATCAGAAGATGGAGAAGACATTTTTTTAAGTTTGACAAACAAGAAAAACTTTCCATAAGGACATGTGGAATTCTAATGATGTCGATATGATGCCACAGGCTATCCCCACTGCCACACGGAGATGACGTGCGCGGCGTTGTCTGGACATGTCTGCACTGTTGCTACACTGTCTTTGTGCACACTCTCCCAGGAACATATTACTGAACTCTGCTCGGAGAAGAATCAAAACATCCAGCAGAGTTTCAGGCCCGTGCCCCATGCAGAGTCTATGTGGGCAGCAGCGTTGGAAAATAATTCCACATTGAAAAACCACAGAGGTTTTGCTGTTGTCCCTCCTGTGGACAGAAATCTGAGAAGCAGGCAGGAATGCGCGAGGGCTTGGTCATGGCTGAGCTCAAAACAGATCTCAATGCATAGACAGGCCTGTTCTCATTCCTGTGCATGCTTATAAGTGTTTTTGTTACTTTGAGGAACCCCTTCAGCGAGCGATGTGTAGCAAAACAAGGAACTCAAAAAATCCCTCCTCATATTGCTCCAAAATTCCACATCCTTTGCTTTGGACTCAGGGAGTCCATTTCCACCATGCGAGTTCTTGCTTCCTCTTAGTAAAGCCAGGAGGGAATAATGAAACCACTGTGAAGCAAAGGCCTCACTATGACTTTGACTTTTTAAACAAATAGAAGTTTAAAAATGTCACTATTCATACAGCTTGCCCATGCATCTCTTTATTATTACCCCAGCCTTTCAAGAAAAAACGTCCATATTAATGTTGATATGATTAGGCTATACAGTGTATAACGGAACATTGTCTGATGAATTACGCCATAGTCTTTTTTCCCTTGTTGCTCCAGGTGCAAAGGGCAGATAGGGCTGGCTAATAACAAACATGGCTGCTTTCCCAGTCTTTCCTCTTTCTCTGCCTGTTTCCTGTGTGGATCATTGATGTATTCCTGGATACCCTAGTGTCTACAGCTCTGCTACATTAGAAACATATTCAAAACTGAAAGCTGTCCTGTTAATATAAAGGCCGGCATGTATTTGCAATACATGCACGTCGAGGCTCTCGAAGTTGAATATTGGTATAAAAGGGCTTGTGCTTAGTTAGGGGTGTCGCAACGTATATTGACAATAACTGATTTTAATATTATGTTGGCATTACACTTTTTAAAACATCGTCCGAATAAAATAAATTCCCTTACTTTCTTGTTGTATGCTTGGTTAAAGTATCTTCCTTCAGATTTGCCATAAGAGAGACTATTTGCACAATAAACAAAGATAAGGATGCATTTTCTATAGATATCATGATGATAAGATAATATTGTTATTGTGAATTATTTTGGCCTAGATAATCGTGTGATATGGTGACACCTCTAGCTGAGCAGGGATTAGTGTCATTGTTAGAGAGGAGGTAAGGTGGGGGTGTTGTTGCCTTTTTTTTGTCGACATGGTTCTCATACTGTCCTTAAATGCTGACGAGTAAGAAGTCAGCAGTGGGTGTTTGCTGTTATGCCCTGAATGTTGCATTTTTGCCGAATTTTTAAGAGACCTTAAAAACCAGGTGTTACTCACAGAGAGCTCCAGTCACAACTTGCATGCTTTCCTCCTCTGTGACTTTAGGAGATGCAGAGTCCTGATTATTGCCAGCCAGGGGGGATAAAGGCCGGTGGGGGGGGGGGGCGGCGTGGTAATTGTATTCTGCATCAGCCTGTATCCATGAACCAAGACTAAAACAGAAAATGACTGGGACAACTATCTGATTAATAGAACAGATGTTAATTTGCGTGCCTTTTGCTATCATGAATTTTTAAATCAGATGGGGTTTGTTTTCGAAACTAAAGTATTGAAAAGACTGAACCCTTAGCTGCTGTTTCTAATGACATGTGGCTTGTATGGACCTGGCTCAGACGCATGATAAACCACATGACAGATGCAGAGCTGGAGTGTGCCCAGTGAGTGCAGTGCAGTGCAGCCAGCAGTAAAACGCTGC